CATTAAGTCGTTTAACTGATTATATCAAGTCATCCGTGATGATATACCGTATTGTTGTTGCACTCTGTCTGTTTGGAATAAGTACTTTACTCACAGTGGGATGCGTCTTAATATTAAACAACTCCCTAGTGGACTCTTGAGTTTCACGTGGAATACCGAGTATCCTAGTGTATTAGATATTGTAAACCATAGGTGAATATTATATTTACTGCGTATGCAGACCATCGGAAATGATAATTTGACTTTCACTTTTTTCAATAGACATTATTACTTTTGTGAAACTTGCAGGAAGTCGTAGCATAGCTGTCAACCCTGTGATAAAAAGAAAGGGTACTCCAGGAGAGGGTAGAAGAACAAGGTGAGTAAAGACACAGAGCGAAGAGAGAAAGTGAGAAAAGATGGAAGAAAGTTTCTCACGCTGAAAACGAAAGAAACACGTAAAAGGCAAATGCACCGTCGGATTTCTTTGTGCGTGGCTGAAAGTTTCACCTCCGTTGGTATGAATGTCTGCCGTATTTCACTGGCGCTTGCGGCGCGCCACTAACAATAAGTAATCAGGGTGTATATCAAGTAATTTTTCTTAGTGCATGAGACAGCTCGCGTTCCTTGGTATTACCTTAGTCTTCCCCCGCCATTATGCAACCTGCACCCTAGCCGACACCGTAGGAAATATAATAGGAATTGACGTCGTAAACTCATGGAAGGTATTAAAGGACATACGAGTGCGCATGCGCGTTCTCGTCACCTTTTGTTTTCTTCACGGAAAACGAACTGGGACATGCTGGCTCCATTGTCTCACGAATCTCGTTTGTTACCAACGTTTCTGGATATTGCGGGGAGCTGGTAGCAACATTGAATTACGCATTCCAATGCTTTATAAACTGCTTGATAATCGCTATACGTCAGGAAGGACGTCTCGTAAGTTTAAGTTCTGTGCATCCTCGTTTAATTAAAGTCCATATACTGGTCTTATATTTCCAATGCAAAATTCTAAATAACAAAAATAGATCAGAGTTTAGTAGATAGAGTAGCTAAGAGAAATTGCAAAGATTTTGAAAACTTAAGGAACATTGAATCAGAATTAATAATCTTTTTTATGAGTAAACTATTTAAATTGTTTATTTTTAAAAACCTGTGTACTCGACACTACAATTCTGGGAAACGCTGAAATATAATACTTATCGATACGTGAAAATATTAAATGCCTATTCTAACCAATTCTCCTTGTATTTTTTAACCAGCGACAAGATACATTCGTGAATGCGTTTAGTGCACTCACCGCGCGAACTTGTAAACGCGAAATCGAACAACGAGAAAGCGACATAGGAGTGATTGCATGTAGAATAAATTGCCAGGATAGCAACGGTCTAGCGTTGTCGCGCCGTGCGTGTATTTTTACTGATAGTCTGGAAAACATTGTGTGGTATACAATTTAGTTGCGATCGATCGATACACGCACGCAGGATTGCGTTTCGTCGATTTTTCCAAAATATTTTAATTCTCCACTGGTATCATCAACAGAGAATTCGACGATTGGATTACAGACAATATATGTATATATATATATAGATGTGTGTAATAGCTGGCGCAGACAGATTTTACGAAAAGTTCAAGAGAAATTTTACACGAGAAACGTTGATTAAAATTAAAAAAAAGCAATTTATATTTTAACGTTTTTAGACAGCAGATGAACTTTTTCAGTCGCGGTATAACACATAAAACATTCGCAAGACGACATAATACTTGGTCCCGAAAATGTCTTCCATCATCCTCAGAATTAATGAGAATCGAAGAAATCCACCACTTTGCCGCAAATTAATTGAAATGCTTTCGAGTGTAATCCTGTCGCTATTTCACGAACGAAGTTAATTTCGTTATTGATCGATTGCCAGTTTCAAAGAGCCAACTCGACACCCTAATTCCACCATTTCGAAGTTACGTGAGATAACAGCATACCAGACAAGGACTAAAATTCCATTCAAGCTTCCACTGTTTCTCAAAATCCCCCAACTATCTACGTTTGTTCAGGATTATTGCACCATGTTGTTCCTGCTGTGGGAAATAATAGAAATCAAACGAACACAACCATCTTCGGTCGGTATAATAATAATTCTAAACGATAGACCAGCGCAGAATTGCAGCTGAACGAACGAAAAGGAAAAAATTTTTCCAAAAAGAAACGCCATTTCAAATTACCCAATTTATATTTATTCAATCTCTCTCTCCGTACCAACAATATAATCACATATGTATCAACCCTCAGAAACATTATGTAATCTGATAAATTCGCATATAGGTCACAGAGAAGGAACCCGCTATACGTACATATGTACGTAATAAATCTATATACCTCATGTACACGTATTGCATGTATATATAGCTTACAGTAATTTTACGTTAGTGACACTCAACAGAAGTACCCTCGACTTCGACGCAGTTCCTAATTAGTTTCTCGTATCCGATAAACTTTGAATTGCGTGACTTTACGATCCCAGTGGTTAAGGCATGCTGAGGTCACTCCGGGGAGGGTTGAGACATTTCTGGAGGCTTACGACTCCTTAGCGCGCTTCTACTATACACCCTTTATATTGGCTGTCGAACAAATCTTATACCTAACCGACCTTCTGTAACGGCCTATAAACCTTTATGTATCGCTAAACGTTTACGGTTTTGTAGCTAAGAAAATTACAATATGATCATTATCACTGGTAATACATACTAACTAATTTTAATAGGACCAGACAGTGACTATATTGTACAACTTGTGAATCCATATATATATGTATATATCTTCGTTCGGGTAATATAGTCGCATCTATTGTGTTACTCGAAAAAAAAGTGGCAAAGTAAAATGGCGAATTGTAACAGAGTCTGCAGGTGAAGAGGAACGTAGGTATATAGTCTCTATTCGCAGAGGGATGAGAAAAAGCGTGGATGCTTGCAATTCTCTGTATTGTTATATATATGTGTATATGTATATACCCAGTATAGCGGCTAAGATAATTTGCATTCGTATAGCTGGCGGGAGTGTCTCGACACTTCTATGCGTTTCATTAAATTATGCGAACTATTTATCGTCCTGGGCCGTGGCGGGATTACACCGTGTACTTTGGAGTACCTACTACCTATGTACGTTGAACGTAACGTTATGAGTTTTCAGAGCGCTGAAACTGCCGCGATTAAATAAACGTTGTGGCTCACGTGCTGGATTCTTGGATACGAATAAGAGCACTGATATTCCCGTGCAGTACTATGCGTCCGATCATTGATTCGTTTGCTGTCAAACTAGCCGACATTGACCATAGGACAATGGTGGAATTGATGACAGTGAAGTAAATAATATATGGCGGGAAAAGAAAGTAGATAATTTTTTCAAATACGTGTCACGCGCAGCGAGCAGGAAGGAAGGCATTCTGACAGGATCGTTACGTATTGATGTGTCGGGAAAAAAAAAAAACAAAAAACAAAAAAAAAGTTTAAGTACGTAAATCAATCGACTGTCTGTTGCTGATCGGAACTGACTTTTCGAATCATCCCTCGCGCCGTTAGGGGTGCGCCTTCCGAAAAGGGGAGGCTGGGTAACGTCTAGAAAAATATCATGCCATTTCATACGTGAATGTCCAACTATGCCCGTATTTTTCGCGCGTATAGCTAAAACTTTTCTGTAAAACGAAGTAATTTAAAAAGTTTCTGCTCCGTGACATCTCGCGATAACAAATTATCCTTGCTCCATTATCCACAAATGCGATTATGATAAGAAAGAACGAAGTAAACTTTAATGCAGTGTGGGTTCGAGTTAGCGTGCGCGGTCTCGCGTTTCCTGATGCGGAGTATCGTAGCCATTTAAGATGACGTCACGGGGAACAAGAACAAGAAGGGATATATATCCTTTAGATCCAGAGATTTCAAGGAACCTCCCATGCCTGCTGACGACCATTGTGCTGATAACCAATACCGTTACATAGACCATCCCTGAATATCCCGTTTGCTAACCAACTGTGATTAGGTACCTTCTAATTAGAGACGGGTACTCATAGATTATACAGTCTCGATATCAATTACGTCTAATTACTCCAATTCGTACCCGTTCCTACGTCAGGTTCAATTCTACGTTCCCTGTTATATCCCAGCGTTCCTATTTCCGCGATTTCCGTTCTTTAATAAATGACAAGACCCAGATCGAGTAACCAAGAGATCTCATTAGCCTAAATGATAATTAACAATGTAACACCACACCGTAACCGTAGCTGTGTTTTCAGAACTTATTTTTCAAAATTACCTTTTTCCCCCATTTCTCATGTAAAATAATTAAAATTATTTCTCACATATGCTCACCCAACGCGTTACGTATGACGTGTTTTAATATAGATATAATACGTTTTTCTTTATTATATATTGTAATCGTATATATAATGCGTATATGCTAAGCCCAGCGCAGATAACTTAAAATTATTACGTACGGGTTATGCAATGATCATGTTCGCATCACGTTCGGTCCACAACGGCGCACAAGCTCTTAACGTTATCAAACGATCTTCTACGGTATTAAGGGATTTGTTGAGATACGACCGATTAAACTTGTATGCGTAACGTTAACCAAGGCTTCGAGATACCTTGCTGTGATGCAGACAGGTATCTCTAGGTGGTACCAACCTATCTCCCTAGCACCTACTAACGTATGCGACAGGGATTTAGTTAACTGCGGTCCGTTAGCTATGGAAGCTGTTGATGGTCCAGATGTGGATTTTGTTACGTTCGAGATAAACGTTACCGCGTGAAAGCGGACGGGACTTAGGAATAACCTTAAATATTTTATTATCAGGTAGTCGTGTTTTTTTTTTTTTTTTTTTTTTTTTTTTTTTTTTTTTTTTTTTTTTTTTTTTTTTTTTTTTTTTTTTTTTTTTTTTTTTTTTTTTTTTTTTTTTTTTTTTTTTTTTTTTTTTTTTTTTTTTTTTTTTTTTTTTTTTTTTTTTTTTTTTTTTTTTTAATAATGTTTTCCTGTTATTTGTGTATTCCATATATCAAAGGACAACCGGAAGTAATGTCTGCACCAGTTTCTTGTTTCTTCCTTGAAATCCGGTAATAACCATTCACAGACTGTATACGTATGGACAAACGTTTTCTGTATGAAATATATTTCTGGCCTGAGAAAAGAGCCTATGTCTCCGAATCTCGTTAAGCCAGATTGCATTACGAAGCTACTGTTTTCCTCGTGACAACCGTTGACCTCCTTTCTGGTCCATTTACCGTTATACCTTATCCTCCACGTATTCTAGGTACGCATGGACGGCAAAGCTCATGAGATTAAACCGAATACTATTGTGAGTAGGAGAAATGCCGAAAATTTGTTCGAAAATTCGCTGTTGATTGATGGATAATTCTTTGGGTGGGAAAAATGGCGAGAAAATCAATTATATATTTTAAGTTTAAAAAATGAAGAATTTAGTCAGACGTAACCAAGCTGTATCAGTATTGAGAACCCAAAGAAACGGTTCGCCTATTTCCGAATGCGGTTGATCGAGCAGGTGAAATTTTATGACTTTTTAACCATGTAAAATAGTAAAATGAAAGAATTTAGAAAATTAATTAAAAGTTTTTCTCATTCTTTAATTATTTTACAAAACCGGTTGAATTAACTGTAGGGAATCGTTTTATTATTATAATCGTATATTATTATTATGTATTGTAACGTATTGTAACTGACGTCATCTTCGGCCGTGCATCCGCATTTCAGGCGCGCGTCAGTCAATCCTTGTTTCACCGGGAACTGACGAGCCGACGTGTCCTGAGATTGAGATGAGACAGTCTCAACTCCGCCAAATCGGGAACTCTGCCGGAACTTATCAGAAAAGATGGTAGCTCAATAGGCCCTGTCGATTTTTGGGGACGCGTAAAATCAGCAAACGCAACTAAATGCACGCACGGGAGCGAACGGTTGTGGAAATGCACGGCCGTTCAGTCTGCTAGGTTGAGGTACAGAGGGTCGAAGTAAGCGTCAGTAAATAGTGCGGAATACATGAAGCAAATGATCGAGAGCGTAGCAAACCGAACCGGAGCTATAAAGTCGAAGTCCCTCCGCCAATTAATAAATTGGGAGTTCTCATCGGAGCTGGTTCAGCTGATCTGCGGAGACCGAGAACTGCATCCAGAGGACACTCGGGTAGGCAGTGCACTATAGCACAACACTGCACCTCCGAAACGCACGCAGAAAATCTATGGGACTTTCTGGATATTGCGAGAGCCACGCGAGAACTACACAAGAGAGAACTTTCTATACCGTATAGGAAACAGCTAGAAAAACCATCAATAGATAGCACAGAAGCGCGAGTCAGTCGAGGCACCTCGATCGGTGACCCAAGACGCCTTTGGCAATAGTCAAATTCGGGAACTAATCGTTCTAATTGGTCGAGATCCTTATAGCCGATAACTCTTATCCTTCCCTCGAGCTGTCCCTTTAAACTAAATCGAAAGCGTTCCTTAACAAATCGGTACATAACTTTTGGAGGTCCTCCACGACCGCTTTCCCCGGGCATCGGGCGACAGCTGGGCACCACATCCTTAACTCGGATCAGGGGAGTTCTGACTTGCCCTTAACCGTAAGAAACTCCACTGCTCGCTCTACAGCCCTTTGTCACTCTCTAGCAGGGTCACGTGGAAACGTCTCCGTCGAGTACTCTCCTCTGCCGGCAATTCGCACGTCGAGAATTATCTCTCCATGGCATATTCGAGTGCCTCGATCTCAACTCAACAATAACAAAGCTTTCCGATAGCATTGGCGCAACTCTGCGAATTAACCCGAGAACGTAGCTTCTGAGCAGAATGGCGACTCGAAGGGAAACAGAAACCGAGAACGTTATCTGAATCGGTATCTCTTTTCATCCATAAAAGTGCATCACGGTGTCTAAAAGTTGGTTTGGTATTAGGAAAATTTTACATTTCTAAAAAAAAAAATTATGAAGTATTACAACATTTAGTAATTTGTAATTTTTTTTCATTTTTGGTTCCTCATAGAGAAAGCTACGTGACAGTGGAATATTGCTTTTTCGAGATTTTCATCTCACCATGTTCAGAATGTGCCAAAACGTCGAGAAAGCACATTTGGAGAAAACGTCAGGATACATGTGTGTGTGTGTAATGGCCTTCTAAAATTCAAACGTGTATAATTCGGGAACGGTTTTAGCTACAGTCCCCAAATTATGCAGGCATGTGCAGCTCTATAATCCCTTCACTTACTTTTCATCATGGATCAAGCTATGGCTCGGATTTTATGTCGATTTCAAATTCTCAACAAAAAAAAAGACGTTATCACTCTAGCGATCGGAAATTTTGTGATACTCGTCTAAATAGTTCCTGACGAAGAGATTTCTATCCAAGGTTGGTTGGTATTGCATTTGGGCCGAATCCATCGAGAAGTTTTAATTTTATATTTTGAATTTTTCGAAAAATCAACTTTATCGCTGTAACTAGTGTTTACTTTAACGAATCAAACCGCAATTTTCTGCAAGTATTAAATATCATTTAGTCGTAGTACAAATGAAATTTGGCGAAGATCGGTCAAGCGGATCTAATTTTATGCTTCCTCATATAGGGACTTCGTACACTACTACCTGCGATTCGTAGGAAGCAAATTGCAAGTTTCAACTTGGGGCTTGTTAAGTAAATACCTATGAATGACACGATAAAATTGTATCTTTTGATTTCTTTTTTAACGAATCTCAAAGGTAAACAGAACTGCAGCTGAACTTACCGTTTAAATAGACAAAATCTACTCTAGGCTATCAAAGGGGGTGAGTTTTGCAAATAGTGGTTACTCTGAAAATACGAAAATCCCAAGGAATTCCTATTTCCTAATTTACATTCTCCAAACAGATAGAATATCGACCCCTATCAACATATAGCACGTTGTTCAAAGTCAAGTGTAATTGAAGTTAGAGAATATTCTCCGAAGACAAACAAGCCCGGACATTAACACCGATGAGAACTTGGCTATCGCACTACTTTAGTTCGAATAGCTATATGTATAGTTACTTCATTAGCCTACAAAATCCGATGTCCAAACAAAGTAACGTATAAGGGTATAAAAAAAAAGTTTTTGAAATAATTCAAAAACTTTGTAACATTATCCTATACATATATCAATTCTCCATATTTCTATAGATTCTCCACCCTCCGTTGATTTAATTTAAATACAGTCAAATCCGTCTCGTCAATATTTCAGTCTGCATATCTGTATACACGTAGATAACAATGGCGACTCGCTGACTAAGAAAGGAAAATTTCCATATTCGAAAAGTCCTCTTTTTTTTTTTTTTTTTTTTTTTTTACTAGGAGACCATTTTCCTGTAGTCATTATCTAAGCTACACAGGATTTACATAAAAGGCACGGGAGTTGTTTGCGAAAAAATTTTTCGCGTACCAAATAATTCAGGCCCTTTTAGCGTCGGTTTTACAAACATTATACCAGCTATCTTTAGCTGCGTCATAAAGAATCGTTGAAAAACTTTTACCGAGCGGTGTCTTTTAGTGTTTCGACATTCTTTTTGTTTCTGCTCGCACAAGAAGAGGGTTACCGGTCGTCGGTGAACGTCGCGCGGGATGACGTGCTGAAAGCACAGAACGATAGAAAATGATATGCATGTAAATAAATAGAAACCACGAGAACTGAAATGTTCAATCGGCAGCTGATATTTTCACAGACGAATAAATAGGCTTTTGCAGACGAGAGGACGCGATTACAGTGATAACGTTATTAAAATAATTCGTATAAATGACCATAATAAAAACACGTCGTACCACCTTCGTTATTTCAGTAAAAATTTAATCCAAGCATTATCGACTATCAGTCAAATCAATCTTTGCCTCTGGGAAGATCGAAACTAAGCCAATTAAAAAAAATTCTATAATTCATGTAACACGATAAGCACTATCGCTCGTTCATCTCGCAACGTTACCATGATAAAGCTAGAATCGCTATGGGGGTGTATAAAATTAAAAAATTGCATCTCGTTTGCGCTAGATCGTGTCTGGTTCCACCTGACGACCTCTGACCTCTCTATATATTTTTTTTAACAGGAAGAATTTTTTAGAATCTTATAAAATCAGAGTATATCCAGCTTTACCTTGCCACTCTGTTACTCAATGGTAATACGTTGTAACGTTCCACCCTGATATCCCCCTATCCTCTATCCTTTTTCCTTCCCAATCATCCAATCTCGATGACGGATACGTCAGGAGCCCCACATAAGAGTGCATAGCGCACTGTGGATGTGCATTACAGTATCTGAGAGAAATCCTCAAATCCTAGAATTCCTCAATAATCCTATCGACCTCTCACAGCGACGCCGATATAGGAAAGGGAATATAGGACCTTTAATTCTCTAATATTGTATAATTCCCTTGAAACTAATCACAGCGACAGGCATGAGGAAGTAAGATTAGAAATTATTACCTTTAATATTCCTACAATCCGAGATACAGTCGACAGACTGAAATCAAAACAAGCAAGTGCCCAGACGCTATAAGCCGGCACGTGGCGAAGACAATAGAAATACCAGTAAGCCGGTACTGGAAGAAAACCGGTGATTGAATCAGTCAAATCGAATAGCCAAATCCAATCGTAAATCAAAATATTGAATCCAAAAAGCGACGTTAACACCTCGGGTGGATAAAAATCGTTATCCCCGCTAGTTTTAACGTATGCCTATCGAGGATATAAGCAGCGGCTTTCTCGATAGGAATTCATTCGGTCCACTCGTATCTATCTAGACGAATCGACAAGACCCTTGTACACCACAAGCCGACAAGAAGCTAGTAAAGATTTGGAAAGTGTAAATTATCAAAAAGCTAGGAGAAAAACCAATCCTCTGTTCCAGAGCGAACCAGTGAACAGTATTGTACTGCAAACTGTGGGAACTCATCCTCGGCAGTTCCTGGTCTTGGAAAGCATTGTGTCTCCACCCTGTATCAGGAAATCGGCTATCCTTGTAGATACTCTGCATCGAAGAAGATCATCCACAAAAACAACCCACCTTAAAAAGATTCAGCTCCCAATATCATTGTGATTAGTAGCTGTCTGAGTC